CAATTAAAATTAATTACATTTAACTAAAACAATTAAAAGCAATAATTGAAATCCAATAGAGTTTATTGTGGGATCAGACCCCAGTGGTTCTCTTTCAGAATAACAGAGTTGGGAGAAACCTTGGACATCTTGCTTCCTGCTCAGGCAGAAAACCCTATACCATTTCAGATGAATGGTTGTCCAATCTCTTCTTATAAGCTTTTAGGATTGGAACATTCACAACTTCTGGAGGCAAGTTGTTCCACTGATCAATTGTTCTAACTGTCAGGAAATTTCTCCTTAATTCTAGGTTGGTTCTCTGCTTAATTAGTTTCCATCCATTGCTTTTTGTCCTGCCTTCAGATGCTTTGGAGAATAGATTCAATCCCTCTTTTTCTGGCAACCCCTAAGATATTGGAACACTGCTATCATGTCACTCCTAGTGCTTCTTTTCATTACACTAGACAATTCAGTATAATTTAATTTCATCTCTCTTATGTTCCAAGTAAGATGTTTAATAAAAAATCTCCCTAGGGAGCACCAACATGAAATTATCAAGAAAAAGAAAATGCAAAAAGATCTAAGGGTGATAAGATTTTTTCTTAGCTGAAAATATTCTGATAAAAGAGAATATATGTATTCCATGAAAAGCTTCCATAAGCAAACTTTATTCAACCATAATGCTACATAACTATAGACAAAAAGACTACCTCATGTGATAAATTTCCTCTCAGCGTTATCACAATAGCTTTTTTTTGATGATCCAAAGCCACAAAGAAAGTTACCTGAAAAATCTGAAAACACAAGAAACAGAGTATAAAAAGCAGCACCCTTCTACACTTTGGCTTGTTTGATAGTCTATTTTCTCCTGTATGCTTTAACAATTGCCTGTAAAACACGAAGGTCCCAATAGTTGATTTAGTTATTTCAAAAGACTCCAAAACATAGTAACTTTTTAGACAGTAGTATGCTATTTTTAGGCACCTATTAGATAATCATGCTTGTTGATGAAGCACGTAAATCTCTTATCAGATGCTGAATTGTCTGTCAAATCAGCTCAAAATCTGAAACGACAAAAACTTTAAAAGGGAGGATAGTCATCATTACAATTGATTTGGCTAAGCCTTGAATGGTTTAGTCTTGTTTGGTTTCTTTTCGTCAACTCTTTGTTATTTCCATGCAGGCCTTGGGTTGCATCCTCTACTTGCTGTGCTTTAGACAACACCCATTTGAAGATGGAGCTAAGCTTCGAATAGTCAATGGAAAATACTCCATCCCACAGAATGACACAAAATATACCGTGTTTCATGATCTTATACGTAAGTTTCAGACAAAGGCACCAAATTCCTGGAGAGGTGGCATGAAAAGAAGAGGAGCTGATGATTTTGTAGAGAATTTTATGATTTCCTTTTAAACTCATGAATGCATTTGGTTTCCATACTTACAAGTGTATGTGAAAATCCTCTCTATAGCAGCTATTTCAACCTGCTACTTTTCAAAGACTTGGACACACATTCTCATCATTCCTGCTTCTCAGTGTCCATGTAAGAGAGCAGTAATGGGATCCTTTACAAGGACAAATCATTTGAAGAGGATAGACTAGGAAGAGCTGGCCTGCTCTTAATTCAAGAAGAAGACTAATACATGCATTAAGATTGTCTTTTTATTGTTTCAATATAGTTTTAATGTGTGGCTTCATTCTAGCTACTCCCGAGTGCTAGAATTTCAGAGTTACATCATATCAATGATCACAAGTCCTATCGGCAGGCTTTTAACATATGCTGATCTCTTTCTTGCATTGTCTTTAGGTTCTGCTTTGAGGGTGAACCCAGAAGAGAGGCTGTCCATCACTGAGTTTGTCAATCAGCTGCAGGAGATTGCGGCTGCTAGAAATGTGAACCCAAAGTCCCCTATCACAGAGGTAATAGATCCCGTTTGGTGAAACCAGTTCTCTGCTATGTGGCAGCACTTAGTATAGCTTTACTGACCTAAAAATGCTGGGTAGATTTGGACCGAGTTAATAGTCAGATGGTAGAACCCCAGGAACCCCAATAGTGTAAGTATGATTAGGAAGAAACCTGTATCATATCATTCATTTGCTTATCTAAGAAAATGTCATGGACGTATCCATGAAATCATCAGAAATTGAACTTAAGGATGTTTAGCTTTAGTAAAAGCTTATGGCAACAGCCATGTTTTTAAATCTGAGCAGCACCTTTTTTTAGCTGTCCCCTGCAGTAAGAGGAGCAAGCAAATAACATGACAATGTCATTGGATGGGACAGAATCGGTGGCCAGCTTTTGGTATTATTGGGAGGCAAAATGTTGCACATAGATGATGTCATTTTACAAGGCTGTTGGGAACTGCAGAAGAGATAAAGAGATAAATACTACGATTGGCTTTTGGGAATGGGAATTGCATAATTCCTTCCCAAATCATCCATCTATTCTGCTCTCTTTCTGCTTCTCCGGGTTATGTTTTCAAAGGTGAAGGAGAAAAGATAGTTGATGGTGATGATAGAACAGACTATATAAGCCAATCCTTCATTTTTAATAATTTGGCTTAGTGTTTTTCCACATTAATTAAGATTATTGCTTCTTGAATGCTTCATTTATAGCTTTATATTAAAATCAAAATTTGCCGCAATCCTTGTATTCTATTTTTACAATCAACCAAACATATTTAAAGTGACTCAATATTACTTTTTTTTGTATGCAGATGGACTGTGGGTGGGGAAGAGTGGGAGTATATTTGTGTTCACTCCTGCTGTGATGTTTTTTCCCCCCAGCTTCTTGAACAAAATGGGGGCTATGGGAATTGTGCTCAGCCTAAGACATCTTCAGCCTTGGTGCCACAGAACTCAAAACCTGCTGGTCAGCTTAACAATATATATAATGCAGGTATGGTGCTTAATGAAGTTTTCTTTGTGTATTGTCCAATTCTTACTGTTTCTTTTAACATTTTTGGCATCTTTCTTAGGTAGCCTTTCTTACAGTATTTGACCATCTCAATTCTTATTTATTTTAGTATTGCTACTAAATTTTTAAGTTTAGACTTTTAAAAGTTTTCCCAAACTTAGAAGTCCTGGTAAGAAATAATAGTAATCAAACTTTGAACAGCATCATGAATTACTCACCTTCTCATATTGATATCATATTTACAGTTAAGGCGTTAGATTAGGAGACCAGTTCATAGTTTATTCTCAGCCATGGATGTTGACTGGGTAATTTTGGGCCAGTCACTCCCTCACACTTCGTTTCCTCTCAAGAGACAAAAGGAAGGGGAAACATTATGAGTCTCACCTTGAGCTTCTGAAGGAAAGTGGAATATAAATACAACAAACTTCCAGGTTTGGAATAAACCACAAAATCATAACAAACCACAATAATTTGGGATGTTGGAGTAAAAGGGAAGAAAGTGATTCTGTTGGATATTGAAAATTCAGTCTGATTTTATAGTCATCCTTCTCCGATGAAGAGGTAAAAATCATATGTAGGTTTTTGAATATTTGTTGACAGTATAAATTTGAGAACTGATTCCTGGAATATAAACTGTATTAAAAAGGAAAGTTTTGTTTCCTGATTTGTAAGCAAAATATAGGAACTTTCGATTGGTTTCTATCTGTGCCTTAATGGACTGTCAGAATAATTACAATATTATAATTAACATTAGGAATATATTAATTATACTAGTAATATCTCACTACATTTTACATAGTTTACTCTTCAGTGTCTTTACACTCTTTCTGTGGAGCAGGTGATCTGCATACTTAAACAACAGAGCACCTTAGAGACCAGCAAATGTATGTGTGTATTTGTTAATTTCAGTCACTTCACTGGATCAGATGTACTTATTGATATAGAGCTTAGTCAAATAGTACATCAGTTTTGGCACTGGAGTCTAAAAACCAATAGTGTCTCTAGATGAAATGAGTGAAATGCTACGGTGGTGCAGTGGTTAGAATGCAGTATTGCAGGCTACTTCTGCTGCCTGCAGGCTGCCTGCAATTTGGCAGTTCAAATCTCACCAGGCTCAAGGCTGATTCAGCCTTCCATCCTTCCAAGGTGGGTGAAATGAGGGCCCAGATTGTTGGGGGCAATAGGCTGACTGCTTAGAGAGGGCTGGAAAGTACTGGAAAGCAGTATATAAGTCTAAGTGCTATTGCTATTAGATGGTCCTTGTATTTCCTTCTCACTGATCTTCCGTCTTACCATTGTGTGAGCATTTAAAACATACAGCAGCCCTCTGATCCCTGAAGGTAATAGCAGCTGGCTGCCATCTGAAATTGAATGCTTTGTTTATTGCAGCAAATAGTTTTGCAGGACTGTGTTTGCTTCAGAATGTGTGGACTGTCTTAGGAACCATTTGCTGCTTTTCTGTTGAATTATTACAATTGGCCGCTCTTCTTTTTGTAGGGAAATATTGCCTTAATTAAAAGACACAGACTAAGGTAATAATACATAAACAAAGACGGCAACTAAAGAGCCCTGCTGAATTTGTTTTTAAATGGAAGTACAATTTAATGCAATTTCTAATGGAAATGTAGTCTGTTTAGAGGAAAGAATAATGATGATTGCCTGCCTAGGTTATAATGCTGTGTTTTTGGCTTTTAGGGCTGATAGTGGCAGAATGTGACCAGTCTTCTGGTGGGTTTTTTGATATCCTTCGAGGTGGGACGGAAAGATTTTTCACAAATATCAAGGATACATCTTCAAAAGTTATTCAGTCTGTAGCCAAGTAAGTAGCAATGTGGCTGTATTGATATTTCCATTCACTGTATTGCAGTTCGCCATTCTCAGTGCAAATGGCATTTTAATGTAGTACCATTATTTTCCTTTGGGAGTTTTTTATTTTATAAGTTACAACCCACTTACAGTCTTGTGGACAGGAACACTAGGAATTCTACTAAGATCAAGAGATGAACAGCTTGCCTCCAGAAGTTGTGAATGCCCCAAAACTGGAAGTCTTTAAGAAGATGTTGGATAGCTATTTGTCTGGAACGGTATAGGGTTTCCTGCCTAGGCAGGGGGTTGGACTAGAAGACCTCCAAGGTCCCTTCCAACTCTGCTATTGTATAATCTGAATCCTATCCTTTCCCATGCTTGACTGGGAGAATAGAATTGTTCCTTAATCAGATTAATATTGATATTGGGAAAAATTTGGAATTCCAATTCTGAGAAATCATAGGGCCAGAATGACCTTATTCATTTGTATGTATGTATGCATGCATGCATGCATAAAAAGTCTGGTCTCATATGCAAATCAATTTAATTCATTTAAACTTACTTATTTGTGGTCTAATACCAAGACAATAAATTTTAAAATACCATATGCCACTAAACTCAAGCCCTATATATAATTTATTGTCTAAATTACAGTCAGTGTTCAAATTGTTTGCAAATTTGCTTATAAGTATTTCCTTGCTCAGTTGACACCTGATCTTTGAACATTCCTAAGTACAGTAAAATTTTCTCTGAAAAAAATTAATAAGACATGCCGTAATTTGTCTATGGGGCTTGACTTTTTGGACATCTTATATGTATGATAGATGATAGATAGATAGATAGATAGATAGATAGATAGATAGATAGATAGATAGATAGATAGATAATTAATACATTAACCATAGTTTCTTGACATTTTTTAAAAAAATATTTATATCCCTCCTGTATTATTTTTACCAGTAACACTAGGCAATGAACAAGTGATAGAAAGAAAGAGCCAAGGTGGCGCAGTGGTTAAATGCAGCACTGCAGGCTACTGCTAGATCAGCAGGTCAGCGGTTCAAATCTCACTGGCTCAGGGTTGACTCAGCCTTCCATCCTTCCGAGGTGGGTAAAATGAGGACCCAGATTGTTGGGGGCAATATGCTGACTCTCTGTAAACCGCTTAGAGAGGCCTGAAAGGTATATAAGTATATAAGTCTACTGCTATTGCTATTGCTATTTAAGAAAGTGATAACTTTAAATTATTACTAGGAAATCCCAGGAATGTTAGATCTTGAAGCAGAATTGCCATAGTGTATATTTCAAATGTGGCCCTTGCTTTGAAGATTATAAAAAAGACACAATAGACAATAAGCCAAATAACCCTAAAACTCTAAATTTTAGATTGAGGAAAAGAGTGACTTCCCATTCATTAAATATGCCCAAATTTTAGCAGCAAAATCTTAGCATGGTCAGGTGATATATATTACTCTCTTCGAATTTCATAATCTGAAAAAAATTAAAACACCTTTTGTTGTATATTACATTACATTATCTCTTTCCAATTACAGTGGAATTCTTTTTAAAAATATTTCTTTTGTTTCAGTTGTTTTTACTGCATGTTTAACTGTCATTTTGGAATTATCCTTAATGCTTAAAACCTGTTAAATGGACTTTAAACTAGCACACACCTAGCTTACATGTGAAAAATAACTAAAATCCAGTCAAATTATTCCCTTATGCATTGCAAATTACATCACCAATGGTGTGTTCAAGGTGGCAGGAATATGAGGAATCATAGCTGAGATTTGCTGAAAACAGGACTATCAAGCTAGCTGGCTTTTCAGTTAGAATCTTTCCCCAGTTACTAAAGCTATAGAATCATACTGTAAGGCTCAATATAATATTATTAATGGTCCCAAACACTCATTCATTTATTCAGTGAAGTTATGCTTCGTTTCTAATCTAGTTTTGGATCTAACTCACATGTTAGATGTTAGATAAGACAGTAGTGACCATTCAAGGGTTGCTCTGTTCTGTGTCTCCTTAGCAACTCATAGTTTCTAAATCATGTGAGGCTGCGTCAATCATTCTTTCTTTCAGTTATTGTCTGAGAAGACGTGTGGGCATGGGAACAGAGAGTTCAGAGTGACCCATGTGATGTTTCCTTTCCAAAAAATGCCAAGACGGGATAGGGAGTAATGAGATGGATTTGCATTTTTTTTTAGATCTGCTTTTTTGCTTTTGTTTTGTTGTAATAAGTTTTTTAAACAATAGCTGGTGTACAAATGAAATTGAATTAATTGAATCCATGATTGTGTTGAATCCATGATTGTGTTAGTCTGTTTTCTCCTAAAGCCGAGTAAAATTCTTTAGTTTACATTTTTGCACCCTGCTCTAGACCAGGATTTTCATGGGGAAGAGGTGAGTTGGGCCCATTTGAGTTTTCAAATACCTGTAATGGTTGCCATGTAAATCTGGCCAATCACAGAAGCCTCGTATGACAGATGATAAACAGACCCCAGGATTGGAATTACTCACTGTTTTATTTTCTAAATCTTACTAGAGGATCTATAAGTTACACATACAATGATTTGCTTTGCTGCATGCTAACTTCCCATTACATTTTTTTTAATGAAGGGCAAAGAACTGGACAAAATGCTAGACAAGCTATAGGTGGCACACTGTCACTCATTGATCTTAGATAGCACATTGGGGACTAGGTTTTAAAGTTTCTGTGATCTGTAGATCATTCATGCCCCTACAAATAATTGAATGAATTATATTCTAATAACATATTCTTGAGTGCCATCTTTTCTGTTATATTCAGTGTTTTGTTGTTGTTGTTATTATTATTATTATTATCATCTCTTTTATTTATTAAACATGAAACTCAGCCAACTGAACATTTAAACATGTATCACATTTTTATTATTTATTATTTATTTATCATATTATTATTTAATTGGTTCATAAATATCCTTGTGCTATGCTGCATTCTGTAAACTATTGTTGCTTGGTGTGACTTCAATATTAATCAATTACTCTTTGCACATCTGATGGTCAGATCAATGGTTATTACATTGCTCTAGAGAAAAGGTTTGTTTATATAGGTTTTGATGATAATGCAATGGTCTGCTTAAAAGGATGGGAACTTCTGTTATTTAGAGATCAGCAAAGAAATTTATAACATATTTTCAGTTTTATCAATCTCTTGATATGGTTTTATCTTAAATGTACAATTGCAAACTTGGAATGAAATAATAATACAACTTATTTGGGACCCCGAAGGTTAAAGTATTCATCATAGGTTCAAAGAGTGTTATGTACTTTTTTGAATCTTAGATAGTCCAGTATGTGACTGGTAGCTTTTGAAGGGTAACTACTGTATTGAAGAGATCAGTGGGAGAAAGAAGCAAACACCTCCATCTCGGGGTTAATGCCTAGGAACAGTTTTCACATAATTTAAAGTCTTCATGCATTTTTACGCAAGGAAGAAATAACTAGTTAAACTGGAAAAAGAATATACTTCTTCCTCTGCTGTTCAGCAGCCTAATCTGAAGAAAAGTTTATGAAACTGATGTATAGGGAGATTCAGGTCTAGTATTCTGGATGGATTATGACATTAGGATTGGGCTAACCAATCATAAATCAGTTAACCCACATACTATTCCATGATGTCATTCTGTTGGTGGCCTGGAACCAAGACAATGGTTCAGTGTCACAGAGACCTCAAAATAGCTCACTTAGTTTTTTAGGTTTTCCTTTTTGCTAGTCACTCAGTGCTTGAATGCTAGCAGCTGTACACTGTCAGAGGGAATTCTCATTGGGATGGACTGGAACCGTTTCTTTCAAGTGGGGCCTTTCCTGGGCAAGGTGAAGAACCTCAGGAAATATTTTGTCACACTTTATGGGTTGATATCTCTGATGGTTCTGTCATTTGGGTAGTGACAGGGGGGAAAAACATTCCACTTTAGGGGGAAAATATATATTTACTACCAGTACTGTATTTTAGTTGGTGCTTTGTAGTTTGAGCCACATGATAAGATTTGACAGTGCCAGAACTCTATAGTCGTGGCTCTTTAAATATTGACCACCTAATTCACTCCGATATGGTGAAATTAATTCTTACAAAAAAAATTAGGAAACACAATCAAGGATTTTACTAAACTGACAGTAGGAAACACAATCAAGGATTTTACTAAACTGACAAAATGATCCTGTTAGCGTCTTTATTGCTCACATGGGAATATGTGTGCATGCTTATCCTAACACAGGGATGTTATTTCCACTGTTATAGGGTATCTTTTATGTTTATTCAAGTTCCAAAGAATCACATGTATCCAGCAGAATTAGTGGTCTGTGCTTTCTTAATGACTGTTCTATTATACAACAGAGCAAAGTCTGTCCACTTGCATATTATATATTAACTTACATTTTGAATCCCTCAAAATGGGCTTTTCTGAAAATAATTTGATTTTTTTAAGCTAATGGTCAGATATTTTGGAACATATGCTGGCTGGGAAATCTATACATAGTACTCTTAACATAACAAGAAAGAAGGCTGAGGAAATTTGGTATATAATGAGAGATAACATAAATTATTGGATTGGAATAGTTCGTTTGTATCCTCTAAACATTTATAACTTCAGCGAAGCATTCTTAGCTGGAAATAAGCAGCATTTTAATTGGTAGAAATTACAAATAAACATGAAAAATTACTGTATCTCACAGAATATGAGCAGTATTTATGAAAATAGTCAACTAAGTCTGGGAAGAATTGTGGGCATTGTCTCTCACCCACATCGGTTGTTCTTGTTATTCATAATGTACCCATCCAACTTAATGTGGGCTAAAGCATTTGGGACAAGGAAAAACAAAAGCAAAATTCAGGTTTTTTCATCTTTGTTTTTTNTTATTTATTATTTATTTATCATATTATTATTTAATTGGTTCATAAATATCCTTGTGCTATGCTGCATTCTGTAAACTATTGTTGCTTGGTGTGACTTCAATATTAATCAATTACTCTTTGCACATCTGATGGTCAGATCAATGGTTATTACATTGCTCTAGAGAAAAGGTTTGTTTATATAGGTTTTGATGATAATGCAATGGTCTGCTTAAAAGGATGGGAACTTCTGTTATTTAGAGATCAGCAAAGAAATTTATAACATATTTTCAGTTTTATCAATCTCTTGATATGGTTTTATCTTAAATGTACAATTGCAAACTTGGAATGAAATAATAATACAACTTATTTGGGACCCCGAAGGTTAAAGTATTCATCATAGGTTCAAAGAGTGTTATGGACTTTTTTGAATCTTAGATAGTCCAGTATGTGACTGGTAGCTTTTGAAGGGTAACTACTGTATTGAAGAGATCAGTGGGAGAAAGAAGCAAACACCTCCATCTCGGGGTTAATGCCTAGGAACAGTTTTCACATAATTTAAAGTCTTCATGCATTTTTACGCAAGGAAGAAATAACTAGTTAAACTGGAAAAAGAATATACTTCTTCCTCTGCTGTTCAGCAGCCTAATCTGAAGAAAAGTTTATGAAACTGATGTATAGGGAGATTCAGGTCTAGTATTCTGGATGGATTATGACATTAGGATTGGGCTAACCAATCATAAATCAGTTAACCCACATACTATTCCATGATGTCATTCTGTTGGTGGCCTGGAACCAAGACAATGGTTCAGTGTCACAGAGACCTCAAAATAGCTCACTTAGTTTTTTAGGTTTTCCTTTTTGCTAGTCACTCAGTGCTTGAATGCTAGCAGCTGTACACTGTCAGAGGGAATTCTCATTGGGATGGACTGGAACCGTTTCTTTCAAGTGGGGCCTTTCCTGGGCAAGGTGAAGAACCTCAGGAAATATTTTGTCACACTTTATGGGTTGATATCTCTGATGGTTCTGTCATTTGGGTAGTGACAGGGGGGAAAAACATTCCACTTTAGGGGGAAAATATATATTTACTACCAGTACTGTATTTTAGTTGGTGCTTTGTAGTTTGAGCCACATGATAAGATTTGACAGTGCCAGAACTCTATAGTCGTGGCTCTTTAAATATTGACCACCTAATTCACTCCGATATGGTGAAATTAATTCTTACAAAAAAAATTAGGAAACACAATCAAGGATTTTACTAAACTGACAGTAGGAAACACAATCAAGGATTTTACTAAACTGACAAAATGATCCTGTTAGCGTCTTTATTGCTCACATGGGAATATGTGTGCATGCTTATCCTAACACAGGGATGTTATTTCCACTGTTATAGGGTATCTTTTATGTTTATTCAAGTTCCAAAGAATCACATGTATCCAGCAGAATTAGTGGTCTGTGCTTTCTTAATGACTGTTCTATTATACAACAGAGCAAAGTCTGTCCACTTGCATATTATATATTAACTTACATTTTGAATCCCTCAAAATGGGCTTTTCTGAAAATAATTTGATTTTTTTAAGCTAATGGTCAGATATTTTGGAACATATGCTGGCTGGGAAATCTATACATAGTACTCTTAACATAACAAGAAAGAAGGCTGAGGAAATTTGGTATATAATGAGAGATAACATAAATTATTGGATTGGAATAGTTCGTTTGTATCCTCTAAACATTTATAACTTCAGCGAAGCATTCTTAGCTGGAAATAAGCAGCATTTTAATTGGTAGAAATTACAAATAAACATGAAAAATTACTGTATCTCACAGAATATGAGCAGTATTTATGAAAATAGTCAACTAAGTCTGGGAAGAATTGTGGGCATTGTCTCTCACCCACATCGGTTGTTCTTGTTATTCATAATGTACCCATCCAACTTAATGTGGGCTAAAGCATTTGGGACAAGGAAAAACAAAAGCAAAATTCAGGTTTTTTCATCTTTGTTTTTTTGGTGATTTCAGTTTTGTTTTATTTTACGTTTTGATTTTGTGTTTGATGCTTCTTTTCTTGTCCATTTTTCCCCATTGCTTTTTGTCATTCCATACTCATGTCCCTTAGCAGCCCAAGGTAAATATTTCTTCAGTGTGTGCATGCTAGCAGCCAATATGAAACTACAAAAAGTTTTCCAAACTCTCAAGTTTTACCTGTGCCTTGTGATCTCTGCTCATTGTTTTAGCACATGCATAAAACATGTATGCAGACCTTATGAATTAAGACATTACCATTAGGTAATTAGTTACATTTATATGTAGTATCATATTCTTGGGACATGTGTATCTTTAGAGTTTATTTTTTTCATCAGCCCACTAAATTGCTATATCTCATATTTCTGGCTGGGATGCAGATAGTAGGAAGCAGAATATTGTCACTGAAATCTTGATTTCTTGATTTCTGTTATTTTTAGAACTTGAAAGAATGGGGCTGTATTTTTAGGGATATGTGTAGCCAGCTAAAATAACCTCTCTGAACTATGTTAAGTTGAATTAACCCATTCAAACTAAAACCGTTCTTTGAAAGGCATAATTCCAGTAAATGTATCGCAACAACTAAATTGAAATGTGCACACACTGTATAATGATCTCCATATGGATTGTTACATGGCCAGATCTCCCCAAAATTGGGGGGGGGGGAGTTGTTGCAAACACTAAAGAATAAATAAAAATGGCTCCATGTATAAAACTGTGGCTTTATTATCCAGTCCTAACGAAAAATTTAAGCTAGTGCATAAATATCAAAACTCCCATTTAACTTACAATATCTTTATTACATAGGATAGGGAAGCGAAATTGATACCCCAAGGGCTTGCTGGGTTCTTGCCCTATTTTGCACACAGTTCTATTCAGACCAAACTAAGAATCTACTGACTTGGATTGACTCACATCCATTGTGTGAAATGTGATCCTCATAACCATTGTTAGGGGGATTCACAAAATTGGTCGAAACTGTGGTGGTGCAATGGTGAGAATACAGTACTGCAGCTACTTCTGCTGACTGCCAGCAGTTTGGCAGTTCGAGTCTCATTGGCTCATGGTTGACTCAGCGTTCCGTCCTTCCGAGGTGGGTAAAATGAGGACCCAGATTGTTGGGGGCAGTATGTTGACTCTGTAAACAGCTTAGAGAGGGCTGTAAAGCACTGTGAATGGTATATAAGTCTAAACGCTATTGCTATTGAGACTATTAGTATCTCAAAAAGTGCTAATTAAGGTGCTCTAGGCATAGGCCAGCCTACTGGCTCCTTCCAAATAGTTTCAATTAAATGCCCATAATTCCCAGACATTCCCATTATCCTTCACCTATGTAGTCCGTGTCATGGTGCAGGAAGAATTTTGCTCAGTCCATAGCTTTGCTGTGAAGCAAACTGGCAAGGAGATCACAGATCTGTTGGTAGCCCATATCAAAGGAAGATGGAAATCCTGAGCGTAAATGTGGAAGGCAGACTTGAAATAGCTGGTTAAAGGTTTTGTCACTTTTGTGTGTGGATGTGGGTGTTTTGTTTAACTTCTCTAACTTACTAAATCTGTTTTTCAAACCTAAAAATGCTATCCTCTTAAGGAGTCTTAAAACCACCTGTGCCAACCTAAATTAACTTATTTTCTGCATATAATATTAATTATCTTCCTGCTCACTGCTTGAGAGTGATTTACCATTATGTCCCACTGCATAATTGACTTATTTTGTAGACTCTACTTCATTAAAGCTAACCTGTGTATTGCACAGCCTAATACCTTTACTGCCGATAGTCCTCAAATTATGACCGCCATTGAGCCCAAAGTTTCCATTGCTAATCGAGACGGGTGAGCGGTTGTTAAGTTAGCAACATGGTTGTTAAGTGAATCAGGCTTCCCCATTGACTTTGCATGTCAGAAGGTCGCAAAAAGGAATCGCATGACACTCTTCAAACCTCACAAATATGAGCCAGTTGACAAGCATCCTAATTTTGATCATGTGACCATAGGGATGCTGCAATGGTCGTAAGTGTGAATAACAGTTATAGCAAGTCATTTTTTTCAGTGCCATTGTAACCCCAGTTACTAAATGAAAGGTTGTATGTTGAGAACTACCTATACTACTCTACCTCTTCCTCCTCCTCCTCCTTTTTCCCTCTGTGCTAATGGAGGATTAAAAGCTCTGTACTGTTGTATCTTGAAGGCCTTTTTTTTGCTGTTGATGTAATAACAAACTAGACTATTAATTTTCCAGAGCTTTGATACAATCTAGGAAGAGGAAACCTGTAACCCTCCGGATATTACTGAACTTTAATTCCTAGCATACTTCATCAATGAGCATGCTATGGGAATACATATATACAGTTGTAGTTACCAATAGCTGGACAGGTACAGATTTCTCCTGAAGAGAATGTTCCTCCCCCCTCCCAGCCTGAAAACAATTAATTTTGCAAAGCCTATTATCTAAGACAGTGATCAGGATCCCTCAGCTTTCAGATAATTGTTTTTTATCAAAAGAAGAGAACCTTTTAATAATGGTTCAGGCATTTAAGCTGCCATTTACAGTGTGTGTTAACCAGGGATATTCTAGATTCTTTAGTTTATCTCCCGTAGTTCAGATATTTGAGAATCACATTTGTGACTCTTCTCTTGGGGATAGGGAGGTCTTGTCTGATGAACAAAAAGCCAGTACAATTTAATAAGCCACTTGAAGATAATCATTTGTTGAACTGACTTACATTCTAACTTTTAACTTGAGTTTTTTTTTTTTTTTTGACTATTTCAGTTACGCAAAAGGAGATTTGGATATATCATACATTACATCCAGAATTGCTGGTATGATTACTAACATTTTATTAAACATGGTTTTCTTTAAAAGCAGATGAAATATATTGAGTTCAGCCCTGACTATTTTTCTTCCTTTCTCCTTTTGTTCTCTAGTGATGTCCTTTCCAGCGGAAGGTGTTGAGTCTGCTATAAAAAATAACATTGAAGATGTGCGGCTGTTTTTGGACTCCAAACATCCTGGGCGCTATGCTGTCTACAATCTGTCTCCAAGATCATATCGGCCTTCCAGATTTCACAATAGGGTTTGTAAAGCAGAATTACTTTACTCCATTGTGTTTTGTGTATGACAGTATTGCACATTTCATTGTACACCTTCCTCGCCTTGGCGGGGAGAATAGTGAGAGTGTTTATAGTATCAAAGAAGAATCTTCAAGCTGATTTCCAACCATCAGTAAAGCCAAAACTTTTTTTTAGCCTGAAGGCTTTGTTCAATCTTAAGGGACTGCAAAAGGAAGAAGGGATTGTCAGTAAAATGGGGCTGGATCAAAAGAAGGAAGGAATATTTCATAAAGTAAACACATAAATAGACAAGGACAGTGGATATGGCAGTTACTGCTAGATGTTTCCAGAAGATCTATTGAGCAAGATATGAAATAATTTACAGACAGAACAACATACACCCTCACACCAGTGGTGGGTTCCTACCGGTTCAGCCAAACCAGTAGTGGTTTAGCAGCCTGGGTGGCTGGAACCGCTAGTGACCCAGGCCTGCCATGCCCCCGAACCGGGCAGTGGGTGGCACCATCTTGTTTTTCACTTCTGCACATGCACAGAACAATTATAATTGCACTGCAAGTACAGTGCACTGCAATGCCCTCGCCCACGAGCGAACTGGCAATAGTGCCTGCCAGAACACACCCCTGCCTCACACATATTTTTGCCTCTAGTAGTAGCATTTATTAAAAAAAAAAAAAAACCTTCACAAGAATTTGTGTATGTTTGTATTCTACTAGTTTTAATACTTTGAAATTAAGAAAAAGACCATTCAAAATAGCAGCAAATCTTTTTCCAAATGTTATTGGATTTGATTTATAAAACTTATGCATAGTTTCTAAGTGCATATCATTTTATATATGCTTCTTAATTCTGAACTGCAATCCCTTCCAAGCTATTTCAGTGCCATTCTATCCTGCTGAATTTTAGTGATAAATGAAGTGATATGGGGTACTCTGAAGCCTTGGGATGGTGAGGTGGAAGCACATACAGGCTGTGAGCTACCCTCACTATTGGATAAAGCTCTTCATAATATTGAAACTTGCTGCAAGAAAATGTGATGCCTTTGTGAGCTTT